AAATCAGTTAGTTACCATATTTGTGAAGGATTTTACTATGTACGAGAATTAGATGAATAGTTAATACTACATGGCTATTGGTGCATGCAACCAGGAACTGATTTAGTTCTATTACTATATTCCCCACGCCAACACTATACTGGTATATGCTAATCACTTTTTTCAAATATATAATAAAAACAACAACTAAAAAGTGTAAACCAATAACTATAGGGCCCTAGCATATCCTTATTATTGCCAAGTATCGACTAAACTGTACATTACCATGTGATCACTTTATTTTTATGATCAAGCGAGTATATGAATGGTGCAAGTGGCATTACCATATATGCGAATATTTATTACCATGGTTCTTTAGTGGTTCAATAGTGCGTCGTGCATGAAGTCTGGTAACAACGTTACCACGTATGTTGGTTTGTTTACTGTCATTAGCCGGAAGTGTTGCGGGTTCATAGTGCGTCGTGCAGTGAGTCCGGTAACACCATTACCATGTGTGCTTATTTGTTTACTACCATTAGCCAAAAGTGTTCCGGGACGAAGATAAGGCGTGTGGCTACCGTAACAGGAATTAATTCCATTACTAGTTTCCGTACTGTGTTTTACTATCATTTGCATAAAGCCTGGGAGATGGAGCGAGTGGCGCGCAGAGCGAAGCAACTAGCGACCGGCGCGCATGATTAGTAATCCTGCGCGCTCGCTTAGTTTAGCGCCACCGTGTATATATATATATATATATATATATATATATATATATATATATATATATATATATATATATATACATATATACATATATATATATATATATATTTCTCAGAGGTTCCAGAACACTTTCAAACCCTCGTTGATCTTCCGGTGATTTTTCAGGCTCCTAGGACTTTCCCGTTTTTTCGAAACTTCTCCGGTTTTCTCCGAAACATTTACCGAAACATTTTTATCTTCTCAAACTTTTTCGGTGAATTACTCAAGAAGCTAACACTTCTAATACTAACAAACTAGTGAACCTTAAGCATGTGACCCCGCAAGTTTCGTGAAGTGCAGAAATGACCCAGAACTCCTTCCGTCAATGATCAATAGCGAAACCTGAGACATCCATGTTGACCCCTACACTTACAAATTATTCATCATGTGAACCTTAGTTTCTCGTACACAATTCCTTTGCTTCGTGATACTTTACAAAACACGATGCAAGACGTATCGGTATCCATGTGAAGTAACTCTTATACTCATTAAACCAAGTTACCCTTGTTACCAATTTTGTTTTCTTTTCTCGTTTAGGTATTCCGGCATCCCCGTGGTCATATCATGTTGTGTCTGGACACGCGATGATGGATACTATCATGCTATTTGCACGGTAGATGTCATGGTATGGCTAAGAGAGATGAGAGCAAGGCTATGGTGTAGATCCGAGACGGGATTGGGCAACAACACATGGTGATATACCCAAGTCCGGGGCCCTCGTGTGGAGGTAACACAACTACTCCTGCAAGGATCTTGATGTTGAACACATGGTGTACAAGATTGCTCCTGGAGCTGTATCAGAGGAGGAAGAAGAGGGCTCTAGGCTCAGCTCTCTCCCTCGCGCGCGCGTGTGTGTGTGCGTGCGTGCGTGTGTGCGCGTGTGTGTGTGTGTGAATGAATGTTCAGCTGGGGCCTCCCCCGTGAAGGCTCTCTGGGTCACCTTATAAGCACGATGCCCAAGAGACAACAGAGTGAGGGAGAGAGTAAAAAGGGGGTCCATGCGACCCGATTGACTGCTCCGTCTTGTCCCGCGAGGTCACGCAGTGGGTGGCAGCATTTGTCAATAGTGCCCGACTGTAGCGGTATGGTTGTCTAGACAGTTTGTCAGCCATAGCGTCTTCTGATCGTGTCCGATGGGACGCCTCATTTTGACTTTGCGCAGCCAGTGCAATTAGAGAGGAGGCAGACGGCCACCATGGCAAAGGGGAGCCAGCCACCATGGCTAGCTTGGATGCAACCGACCACCATGGCTGCCCAAGAGCAGCCGGCCATGGCTGCCCCTAGCAGCCAACCATGAGAGCCACAAAGTGGCAACCGGCCAGGGCCGCAGGGAGTACCCGACCATGGTCATGCCTGTAGCCGGCCATGACAGGCCTCCGGCAGTCGATCTTCTGACTGATTCTTCTTCGGTTGTTTTGTTGATTCGTGGGGTTTGGCATATCGGGGGTTACTCCGCTCGATAGATATCATAATACAGAAAGGGCACAAAGAATATCTCTCCATCGGTGGAGGATCAAATCTCAATCTTTAGCTATCAAGTCCCTCGACATACTTTTCCTATACACCCCAAAGTTGCCATTATAATCACTCTATTACGGGTAACGTTGCACGAACCCCAAAGTACACCGTCCGACATGAAACTACAATGATATTCTCATGGTTTAAGTAAGTGAGTATACGTAAACATTTGCATGATGATACTTATAACAATATGACGATGTGATCTTGAAGTATATCACTATTCACTAAGTTGGCTTTGTCCAACACCATTGTTCCGCCAACAGTGTGTTTACATTATTGCCAACATCCACTCTTACTTTAACAATGCCCATGGTCAGGAAAACATGATCGTCAACAATACACGGTCTAGTTTTAAAGCCAAGACTAGGGATCTACTTGGTGTTTATTATTTCACACATGGTAATGAGTTTCGCGCTGAATCTCATTTTCATGCCGACTCGAGGACCATCGCAACTATAGCATAGAAAGATAAACGGTAATTACAAACATGGAAATAAATAATAACATTTCTTATTGCCTCTAGGGCATCCTTCACATAATTGCTCTGTCTCACATGTTTGGGATGGTCAGATGCTCAAACTCATATTCGAGAGAAGTGTTGACTCTGAATTCTTGCCCAAATGGAATGACCTTTTGTTTAGGGTGAACCTTTTTTGTTTCTAATTATAACGCCGGCCAACTTATATGGCTGTTGGAAGCATCTAGAACATATGCCACCAGATCCTTCTAGATATGATTAATTTTGGTGGGGTTTCTGCCTCTTTTTGGAAGATACCTATTCCTCCCAATTATGATGTTTGAATTGCATGTTGCTAATGACCAAATTTTGACTAGAGATAAATTAGGTAAGAGACATCATATTGTGGACTTAACCTCTTTATTTTGTGGTGAAATGGAGAATGTTCACCACTTGGCTTTTGATTGCATTGTTGCTAGGGTGACTTGAAGTGTATATCTGGAATTTCTATTTTTACATCACCTTGATCTATACATGATCTTTTTAAGATGTGGACTCATAGTAAAAACCTGGCGGTTGTGAGCATGTCTTGCATTGCTACCTTGTGGAGCTTGTGGAGTGTTCATGATGAAATGTGCTTTCAGGGCTTGGTTTGGACAGATGTCAGAGTCTTACGGGGAAGAGTAAGTGCGCTTCTTCACCAATGGAAGATCCTTCACGATGATTCTCACTATGTTCGTGCGGAGGTGCTTACTACGTCTGGATCGGCAAAGAGGCAAACTGCTGAGAATCGGTTGGTCCTGATCTTACCTGTGGATGGGACCGGCGAATAACAATGCGCCTACCTGAGAGACAACACCAACTGGTGCACCGCTGATTCAATAGCAGGGCTAGCTGTGCTTGTTCGTTTGTTTTGGCAGCGTCCTTTCCATAGGGTACATTCTGTTTCCTTTTGTAAAGCCCTGTAATGTTGAATTCTGGCTCAGCTACTCTTTGGCTTGGCCTGAGCACTGTTAACAGTCGTGCATGCTTTGCTTGCCTCGTTCCTAATAAAAATGGGGCTGGGGGAACCCCTTTTAATGAAAAAGATCATTTTGAGACAGTGTGGTGGTGCTCCATCCGACAAGGGTCCGGTATACCGAAGGGGATGGCCATGGTTCTTGTATTCCAGCCCACAGTGGCTCCAGCTGAGGCCATGCGTTGGATCTCCTCTTTGACGATGGCTCAAGGATAGTGACGGCAGGTTGCGTTGTTTCTAACTATAGGGGAGGGGTTCTGCTATCATCGTGGTTTTCAGACTTAACAGCTGTGTATCTTATGAGCTTGCACAATATGAGTTTCAGCTTAGTGAAGAGGGCTTGTAATGGTGTAGCTCATGATCTTTGCACAATATGCTAACAGGGGTGTGGAAGCTGCGGTTTTGCGGCTTGAGGCATCCGGTGTATCCCAGAGCAACCCGCCAATGATTGTAAAGAGATTGTTATAAGTTAATAAAAACCATGGTTCCTGTAAAAATAAATCTGACATCCATGTGTGTAGTGCAGTCACAACTCACAACGTAAGGTCAATATCGACACTGTGGTTGCACTACTAGAGAAAAAACTATTACTGTAAGATTGAAATTATTTTACTTCCGGTTTTAGCACCTGCTTGTACATATGTACAAATATCTATGTATGATTTTCAAATTTTCAACCCAAACTAAAAGTATATCTTTAGTGAGAAAATATTTTTAAAATTTTGACTGAAACCATGTCCTATATATTATGAAACAGAGGAAGTATCGCTGATGATATGGTAGATAGCAAGGAAAAAGGCAAATCTGAATTCAGCATGGTCATCACAGAGAAAAATAGACACTGCAGGTTTAAACATGCACAGAAAACGTTTAACAAAGCCAAAAGGTACCGATTGAAGGTGCAAGTTGGGTTGAAGTTTAGATGCCTCAAAAAATTCTGCAACTGCAAGCAAGTTGTATCATTCTTTTGGAGGTCAACGTGTCGAGTCTAGTTTTGCTTTTTGAGAAGAGCGTCGAGTCAAGCTACCAGGTTACATACGAGCTAATGGAGTTTCCGGCCTCACCCTACGGGATGGAGTCGTGTACTGTCCAGCTTGCTACCCACTGGACAATGCAAAATATTATGATCTGCTGCATAAATGAGCAGACAGTAACAATGTGTGATTTTTCCGTCCAATGAATGTGCTAGTCACTAGATCCGTCTGGCAGAACTAGAAAATAATAATCAGAAAACGAACTTAGTAGAGAGAAACCGGTTGGAAGTTAATCTCGTGCAAAAAGATCTAGTTGTATCGGTGTTGAATGCATCTCATGCACCACGAGCTTATCGACGATGACAGTGGAGCCGGTAGCATTGTTGAAAACGTACACCCCTGCCGCCTCATAGATGGCCTCAGTCGGGTACACCCGTGACGTCACCGTCAATCTCCCACCCATAACGAAGCTCTCCACAATGGAATGATCCACAAGAATCCTGGCGGATAATGCCTCTCCGTTGAGCACCGGAACGGTGCTGCCCACCACCCGCTTCACAACATTCCTGGCCAGCGATGACTGCGACTCGTCATGGCAGAAGTGGGTCCGGAGGCCCCCGTCGAGCCTCCTAGACACGTAGAAGTACATTGCCATTTGTTCACTGTGGCCGTTGGTGAGGAGGAGGCCAAAGGGGCCGAGTGCACCCCGGTTGGTGGCACCACCGCTAGTGCTGCAGTTGTAGCCGATGTCGGCCTCGTTGTGGGCTGCGATGTCAGAAGTGTTGAGGCGGAACGAGGCCTCTATGTCGAGCTGAGCGGCTTGGCGGAGATGTAGGGCGGTGATGGAACCAGTGCCAATGGTGATGCCACTGAGGTCAGTGGTGTTGTGACGGAGGGTCTCGATCTCCTCCACCGGCCATTGGAGGAGATTCGTCCGGGTCTTCTCGTCCAGCGCCACCGTCCTCGGAATCGCCTACATCATACACCATTAATTAGAGAGTTCAGTAATTCAAGCTAGGTAAGTCCCTAGACCATGATGGCACTTTGATACCAGGAACCACTACCTTTTCTTATAGCTAATAAGATGTTTCTATTCGCCAATTTTTCTCTTGCCTACTCATGGATTCAGCAGGCAACTTAAAAGGTTCTCTTATGTGCTAAAAAGTACGAGGTGGCTTATACAAACATGATGGAAATGCTCAATTTGAACCTTTTTGAGTTAGATTTGATCTTCTTAGAGAGCCTAATGTTGAAATGAGTCGGGAAAAAAGCATAGCCAAAATATTTTTGAAGTCATAAATACAAAGAATTACTTCTTCCTTTCACTATTATAAGATGTTTTGGATATTTTAATATGAACTACATACGGACTGAAATGAATAAACAAACATACTAAAATGTGTCTATATATATCTGAATCGGAAAAAAAGTAGAACATTTTGTAATAATGAACGGAGGGACTATTTATGTATCAATTATGCATAATGAATGAATGCAAGATGACAAATGCAAGTTAACGATCGCATTGTTGTCATATCTAAATATATCAAGCATGCATAGTGAACTAATGGAACTGATGATAGATGGTAAACACGTGGTAAAACATATCAAATTGATGTACAATAACGTCACCTGGAGGTTTGCCCATCCCTTGGCGAGGTCGGTCCGGTTGGAGTCTGTCTCACCAACATACGCCCACATCACACGTCGCCGTTTTGCCGGATCATAGAATGTCGTGGACGCAAAGAACTTTCCCCAATTGTACCTCAGTCCGATTCCCACATCTGCCTCCGGGTCCAGCGGTGTCCATGTGTTGGTCACCGCATCATACTTTCCCAATGCGTAGTAGTCATGTCGTTCATCGTCCATGCTCGCCTTCAGGACATACAACTCTTCCTGTGATGAGTTGCTGTTGCCCCCAACAGGGTAGAAGTCGACACACTCCCACATGCCGGTGCCCTCGACGCGGTGGACCGGGCGCGGGATGAGCTCGAACTTGACGAAGTCTTTTGTCATGTACATGAGGGCGACGCCAGCATGCCCGTTGTCATCCTTGGACCCGATCATGGTGCGCCACGTGTTGTCGGACTTATCGAACCATGCTGTCATGGGGTCGCGGAAGTCCTTTTTGCTGGTCCCGGGGGGCGGAAGGAGCACAGGGTTGGCAGGGTGCTTGGTCCAAGTACGAAGGAGAGGATCATGAGGGTCAACAGGTACGGCAAGGCACTGTACCTGGGCGAGGGTGTCGGTGTTCCCCGTGTAGAGCAGGACGACCTTGCCATCGGGAAGTATGGTGGCGGAGCCCGTCAGAACGCCGTTGATGTCGTACCATCGGTCGGGCACCATGGCGAGGGGTAGGTGGTGCCAGTGGACCATGTCCCGCGACACGGCGTGGCCCCACGAGATGTTGCCCCACGTGATGCCCTCTGGGTTGTACTGGTAGAAGAAGTGGTACCATCCACGGTAGTACATTGGAGCTGCATGTTTGCGTTTCAATTAATCAGCACGTTTCCTTGCCAATGGATAGGCATAAAAGTGAGGATTAAAAGTGATAATGATCCTACTCACTCACCGTTTGGATCTGCATGCATACATGCATGCATGTCGCCGGAGTACGTAAGCAAAAGGTAGTCAGTTTCTTTCTCCGGCAAGCAAACAAACAAAAAGACATCAAAAAAGGCAGCTAGCCATTGCCAGTCAGTTTCTTCTTCCAAACATAGAGCAAGGCGTCCGTGCCGGTGCCGGGGAAGAACATATAGGAGGATTTGAATCTGAAAACTCAATCTTGAATTTGATGGATTCCATACATACCGTTCATGTAGTTCTTCTCCGGCTGGAAATGGTACCCGGTGCGCTGCCACTGCAGCATGGCGTTGCTCCACGGGAAGCCATCGGCCTTATCGCCCACCGTCTTCTCCGACGACGGCACGGCCGCCTCCTCCCGCCTGGCTCTCCGGAGACGGAGCACCGGGCTGACCACGTCGCCCAGGTCCCCCAACCTGGCCCCTGGGAGGAGCGCATGGGTGACCACGAGCACCACCAAGGCGGTGGCGCCCAGCACGGCAACGCACTCGCGCCACCTCACGCCGCCGCCGCTCCGCTGCTGCATCGACGCGTACGTGTACAGGACCGGCGGCGTGCCCGCGCGTGACTTCATCGCGACGGCCGCCTCAACAAAACTGAAGAGGAAAGTTTTCGACAGGGGTCTTTCTTGAGTCTTAGAGAGCGCGATTTATAGCTGCGCCGAGGCTAGGGAACGTTACTACTAAATCATTAATTTAGACCCATCTTTTTTGTGTGAATGAATTTAGGCCCGTCTTAACCCAAAAGATATATATGTACTCCTATTAATTAATTTTTTAGGCACATGCATACAACAGACTTTAGTGAGTACCAATTTTAGGCATAACATTCAATGCTCCAAATTAACACTGCAGAGAGATCCAAACAAAATACAGTTGAGGAGAGCGGGCACGACCAAAATACATGGTTTCGGCCTCACCGATCGAGCAAAAAGGGTAACAATCCTTATCATAATTGTCAGAAATAAAATGTATCACAATTTAGATAGACTAGACATGTCATGACGTGGTGTGGTCACATTGTTCATATACGCACTTAGCTCAAATTGACTTGTGAAGATGATGTGTGCATCTTCAAGCAGAATAAATGAAATGATATTCGTATTCAAAGTCTAAAAGTTTGAGTACAACATGCTTAAAAGGTCTCTTATTTCTGCAATGAATGGTTCGGTGATGATATAAGTAGTCAAAAGTTATCTCAACATGGTCATATCTTTTTTTTCGAATAACAGGCAGGCTCCTCCCCGGCTCCATTACTCAGATGGAACTAAAATAGTTCATACATCAGCTCAGTTAGAGGAGCAGTTCATCAAATAAGCGGAAAGCACAACTAGAGAGAAATAGTTCCAAATACACGACAAACTAAAAAAGAGATCCATGGCAGCACCGGCCAAGCAAAGCCGATGCAGCACTGTGGCGGCGTGTACACAGCTTGAGGCGACAGGCTGATGGCAAGTGTAGACATTGTTCATACGCACTTAGCTCAAATTGACTTATGAAGATGATGTGTGCATCTTCAGTCTGAATAAATAAAATGATATTTGTATTCAAAGTCTAAAAGTTTGAGTACAACATGCCTAAAAGGTCACTTATTTCTGATATGAAGGGCTCGATGATGATATGATAAATGGCAAGTAGTCAAAAGTTACCTCAACATGGTCATCACACAGTAAAATAGACACTATAGGCTGAAGACCTTTTGCAAAACCAAAAGTTACCGGTTGAAGCTGCATGTTCATCTGCATAAAAAACTTTACATTCCTCGTGGTAAAAGGGGTCCACACCATACCCACAATCAATGTAGAACTCGGTTATAGAGCATTCGAGACACTTATGGATCCTCGCACCTAGGTTCTTTTCCATGGGAAAGATGGGTCCTCGCCAGGTCAACACGGGGAATATGGAAAGTTTACCATGAAGGCTCTTCTCTAGCCCGATGTGCTCCGTGCACTACGTGCACTAAGACCACGCCCAAGACATCCTCGCAAAATAATATAGAAAGATGGTGCATCTGAAGCCGATGGAATCTGATACCGAGGACCAGAAGGCCCCCAATAGTAAATTTGATGTCAAATCCACCACATGGACGCGCAACATATTTTGTTTGTCAGTCGCCCGGTAGTGCATTAGTTCACATATGAAGGCCAGAAGAGCCATAAATTCACAAATTACCCCTAAAAGTGAGGCGAGTGAAGACAGTAATCCAAAAGGGAAATCTTGCAGTCTCTCTCTGTGTGTGTGTGTGTGCGCGCGCGCGCGCGCACCTGATGCACTAGAAGGATGGCAATGGCATGTTGTAATAAATAGTTGGATAACTAATTCATTAGAAGATGTGCTAGGTGCCATAGAATTACCCCAATGCAACTAGGGCACATAAGGGGATCAAAGGAACACCTGTAGAATAAATGAATGGTGTGGTATGTAAATTCACACACTTGTAAAATGCCCCATAGCATGGCACCTAAAATTTCCAACATTCTCCTATAAATAGAGGATATCCCCTCACTTAGAGGGGGTTGTAAAATTTGAGTCTCTCTCCCATCTTGGGCATGGGAGAGAAGAGAGTGATAACAAGGATGCAGGGCCAGAGGTCAACATGGGGTCAAAGCCGCATCAATCTTGGTGCTGCTAGGATCAGATCTAGGTGCATGACACGAAATGCCCAAGGTGACCTGACAAGCTCAAAGCGGCATGCAACGACCACGTACAAGTCAAGGCAGCACGACCAGGCATATTAGACCACAATGCGGATGGCTTCAAGGTGAGGTGCGAAGAACTTCAGAGCAAGAGAAGATCTTCAAATCAAGGGGATGAGGGCCAAAACGGCAGCCGGGTGTGTACTGAGTCACCTCAGGGGCATGTCGGAGCCCTAGATGTCTACCCTCCAAGCGACACCTAATTAAATTTGCCAAGAGCTAGAGTTGACTTAGGTTGCTTGCGAAGAGCTAGCGTCGCCTTGACACACTAGTGAAGAACAACAGACACCTTTGGATACTAGCCCGGAGCTAGATTTTCCTTTAGTAGGTAGCCAACAGCCAACGTCGCCTTTACATGCTAGCCAAAAGCTAAAGTTGCCTTGGATTACTAGCCAAGAGCTCTAGAGAAGTAGTCCAAGGCTAGGGTCGTCCTCAGACAAAAATCTCATGCCGAGGATTGCTCCCAGCACTAGGCACCTCATGGACGACTATCTGTGTGGGATTCCTAGGAAACCATGACGGGAGGTGACGTAAGGCCAAGTGATAGAGAAGAAAGGAGATCCATGACTCATGAAGTCATCTACTGAACTGACTACCCTCGGACCGGGGTGCCTCCAAACGTATTGTTCTACATTCGACTTCATATCATAAAGAATTCTCCAAACACAAGCAACTATGTCGATGTGAAGGCCTAGTTTAGTCACCGATACTTCCACGTATCTTCTACACCCCTAAATGTAGAAATATTGATCACAATTTGCACGAAACAAATCAAGTGATTCGTTTGGTATATGCATATATCAACTTTAAATGTGTATGCAATTAATAAATTTTAGAGCTCTTACATGGTATAGGCCACTACAGGTTGTAGGAGTTGATACCATGATAGTGATCTAATAGAGAAGGCAACTTAGTTTAGATATTAAACATCTTGCTTGATAAGAATAAATGTAAAGAAATGAGGAAGTATTGGTTTGGATCCATTTCTTTTCCACATGAAATTTAGTTTCAATTAGTTACTGACTCCACCTATTTGGATTTGGATGTGTATTGGGTGAATTTGGCAGACATTTTTAGGCAAGTTGCTCTTTGTTCTTGATCAATGGTAACAGGGATAGTGATTTGATCACGAGGTTTGAAGAGTGAAAGATGGAATCCAAAATAAGCGATTAGGCATAAGAAGCAAGATTTTAAGGTTTGGTATTAGAGCTTATTCGTTTGTGAAGGAAGTATGCATCAATGAAGTCCTTCGAAGGGTTGTGATTTCTTGGGTCATGTTGCATAGTTGCCACTGTGGCTCAATGTAGGTCGTAATTACCCTCTTATTGTAAGATGCTACAACCAATCGCTCAAGAGATAGATCATCAGCCAAAACTAGTCCCTCATGACATGCCAATGCTTCCAACTTAGCAGGATCCATCACGCCCAAATAGATAATTAATTGATGAGGAGCCAAATTAAGTAGATAAGTTCACTGCTTCTGTACACAACTCTGGTTGAACCCCGATATGGGTTTGATCTCCATTTAGCAGAACCCGGACATTGCGGAATCCAGCTCGTCCATGGCGGGCAACCAGTAGGAGCAGCTGGTGTTTGTGAAGTCAATGGCTTCACAAAAGATGATAGATTTGCCAAATTATATTGACTAAACAATGTGCAGGTACAAGCTTTGAAATTAACTCTGAGGCATAGCAACTACAACTGGACGCCCCCTATTTGCCCCGAAACACTCGGGCGTTCTGCTCGGTCACTGTACAAACACAAAATTCCACCTAACTAGACCTGGCAAATCCGGCCCAAATACCTGGGCTGACCAGCACTCCCCATAGCTGGCCCACTTCCGGGTGGATATGGGGACGCCCGGATGCGCCCGCCAAGTAAGACTGGCTGCAAGGGTCCGCGCCAATTTGCTTGAAGACGCCCCCCCCCCTTCTTGCGCGACTAGCCCTCTTCCTCTTCTCTTCTCTACCTCGTCCGCATAGCTGGCGTCGTAGTTCCGCCGCCATCGTTGCTCTGCCATCATCCCCAACCCACAGCTTCACAAATGGAGGCCCCAACCAACACCGTTGCTAATTGTGTCGCAACTAATCAAGGTTGCCGCCACCGGATGCTGCCCGAGTACATCCAACTCCCCCGGATATACACCTCCCACTCTATGTGTTCGATCAAATGTGTGAGAAGATTTTTTTTTATTCATTGGGTCATTTCTAGGTCATCGATGGATTGATCGTGAAATGATGGCTATGGAAACATGGACCTTGTTGAATTCTTATTAAATGAGTTCATTGATTTTTTTTGGATTTGGACGATGGGGATGTTGAAATCGTGATGATGATGATCATCCAAGAGGAAATGGAGAAGGCAGAGGAGCATGTACTGAACTTCAAGGGTTCCATAAAGTGTCGGAGAGTTCCCGGGAAAGAATTGCCGGTGCTCAGGTTTTGTACACGGACTACTTCACAATTGACCCAATATACCATTAAGGTTTCTTTCGTTGTCGCTTACGGGTGAGCGGGGAATTGTTCTTGCGCATAGTGACTACCTTGGAGAAGGCTGATGACAAATTCAAGCTTAGGAAGGATTGTTGCGGACAACTTTCTATCTCTCCTCTGTAGAAATGCATGGTTGCTCTCAGGATGATTGTTTATAGTAAGGCTACAAATGCAATTGATACTAAATTCGGACGGGAGAGACAGTGGTCATGAACACCATGATGCATTTGCACTTATTGTGGTGAAGGTGTTTGGACCAGAGTAGCTGAGAGAGCAAACTATTGAGCACACGGAATTATTATTGGCAATTGGAGCAGCAAGAGGATTCTCATATATGTTGGATTCAGTTGATTGCATGCACTGGCAATGGAAGAATTACCCAAAAGA